CGCTAGGAAACCGCCGAGAAATCAAACCCTTGGAGTTTAATTTATACACGTATCTTTTCTCATATTCTTATTCTTTGTCAGAGAAGTGAGGAGTAGAAGATAGATAAATTCATGTTTGTTCACGTTTGTTCACATTCTTACAAGTTTTATAGAACCAGCTCCTTCGATCCACAATTTTAACAAACCCTTCTGTAACCTTCACTTTTCTTTTCGAAGTTGCTTCTTTATCAAGCCATTTATGAGATTTATTTTGTTGTAGCAATCTCATGATTTGTCCAACAATCTGTCAAGTACTAGCTCACTTTAGGAAGACTGAGGCGATTTGTTTTCTCACAAAGAATAAATTAGTCCAAAAATACTACAAAGCCATTTTTCTTCCCTCTATTCTGCAAAACAATATCAAAGTGAGCTAACTTTGTCTTATCAACTGAGTAGATAATGCCAATCGGCCACCGTGGAGGGTTTCAAACCTGACGTTTCGAGTGCTAGCTCTTCTTCACAGCGAAAAGACGAAGGGCTAACACTTGAAACCTCAGCTTTAGAAATCAGTCAACACAATTAAAAAAACCTCGTGATCTCTTCATAAGACAACATTATTGTGTTATACCCCACGGACACAGCAACACAGTTTCTTTAGAAACTTGCCGTCTTTTTTCCAATATGGTATTGGTCACATAAAACGCTGCGAACGCGAGTTCCTTTAGTGTAGGTTTTACATATTACTTGAAACAAAGAATTTGATATCTCTTATTCATTTTCCGTTTGTTTTGGATGACCATTTTCTATTTCTAAGGAAGTTGGATTTTTCTTTTTCAACAAAATGAGGAAAGGAACCAGCTGTTGGAATTTTTCTCTGGGGCAATATTTTTAGCGGATTCTGAATAGAACGAAGATAGTGCTCTACTGTACGTATTTTAAAAACTTGTAATTTTTAACGAAGAGAATGGAGAATTTATTTTGTCGCAGTATGCAAAACATGAATACTAAATTAAATCCACTGATAAACTAAACAGGTTTGTTCCAAAAGACGCTTTGACGCACGGAGTTTGAGCCCTGTTTATTGGTTTTTTTCAGAAGCATGCACCATTTATGACAAATATTTATGATTGTGATGATTTTAAAATTATTGATCGGTCAGTGTAAAGCCATAGTCACCTTCTTTTCTAATCAAGTAATTGACAATACAACATAAATTCCAAGTAGATTTTATATCCCTTTAATCATTCCTTTTTTTGAATGATTACATCTTTAATAGACCGACTCTGCTAGTGTCCTACGATCTCTAGGTTCGGAAATAGCCGAGAAATAAAACCTTTCAACTTTCTATTTGATTTAGAACAGGACATCTTTTTGCTTTATTTGAGTTACCAGAGTAAAGGGGGTTTTGAGAAGTAGTAGCTGTATGCATTCATATTTGTGTTTACATATGTAAGGTTACCCAGCTGTTTGGAACAACAGGTAATTTAGTGTTAACAACTGGGTTGAAAACGTAAATTAGCCACCGTAAAGGGTAAAAAAAGCTGACGTTTCGAGCGTTAGCCCTTCGTCAGAGCGATTAGAGGAATTGTGGGTTGTGTGTGGATTTATATGTAGAAAGTGGAGCTACGCCATTGGTGGGAATATGGTGATAAGAAAACAGGAATAAATTAGTTGAATGAAAAGCGCTCGTTGATTCCGTGGGGATTAAGGGTGCCGATTTGGAATATAAATTTTTGTTCTAGTGTTTTACGGCTTTCCGAACTGCCGAGATGTAAGGAAAGGCCGCAAACTGCCATATGCTGTTTAGAGTGATAAGGAAGATTAAAGTGTCTAGCGACTGGCTTGGATGCGTCCTTGTCATTTCTTTCCACATCGCGAAGGTGTTCTCGGAATCGGTCACCCAGTCGTCTTCCTGTCTCGCCGATGTATAACTTATTGCAATAAGTGCAAGTTATGCAGTAAATAACATTGGCGGAGGTACACGTAAAGTGATCAATGATCTTAATGGATCTTTTGGGTCCCGATATTTTCTCTACGTTATGAATGAAAGGACAAGTTTTGCATCGTGAGCGAGCGCATTTAAAAGTTCCAGATTGGTCATTGGTTTGAAATGAACTCCTGACTAAAAAGTTGCCTATGTTTTTGTCACGTTTGAATGAAATAAGTGGGGGTTGCGAAAAGATAGTGCCAGTCTCTGAATCGTTTTGGAGTAATTTAAAATTTTTAAAAATGATAGATTTAACTGCGTGGTTGTGAGGGTGAAATGTAAGAGTAAATGGAATGCGGTCAGTGTTCTCCTTCTCGGCCGTTTTTAGTGCTGCCTATAAATCGTTGACCTGAGAATCACAGCGGAACAAAGCCTGAGAGATGTTGCCTCTTGAGTGACAACGGACGCTTTAACTATTTCCCTATTGCAGTCTCAAAAAGTAAAAGGATTATTTTTAGTGAGGTTAGATTTGGAATAAATTGAGAAGATTCTGAACAAAACGACGATATTTCTCAACAGTTCCTATCTGAAAACTTCTGACCCATCAGGAAAAGAAATAGAGAATTCATCATAAGATAGACATGATTTGACATAAAGATGGACGCGAAATATAGGTAGACATGATTTGAAATATAAACTTTGATCGTGACGTGTGAAATAAGCTCCATTTTGTCTCAACAGTGCCCAAAAAAAATTATACACAAGCTATGATTTCGCAATTTTGTAGCACAAGAATCATTCCGGCGCGTTTTTGTGCAAAGCATGCGTTCTTATTGGCTGAGGAAAGGTCTTCAAAATGGTTACAGGAGATCCTCTAGTTTTATAGGCAGGGATTCATTAATTAGAATTCTAGATTGCCCTTTTCAGCTCGACGTGATATCTGAACAGTTCGTCTGTAGGAGCAGTGAATTGTGCTGGAACAATCTCTGTACAAGTTGTTGATAAATAGTTCTATTACGATTTGATAAAGAGCAGATTAATTGAAATCAAATTGTTAATCAAGCTCTTCACCGAAAAAGCATGTTGGTTTTTGTATAGTACAAGTAGTATTTTGTACAATGGGCGATAAAGCACATACAGTTATTGTGACGAGAAGCTTGAAATTCAAACCTACCATGCCGAACTTGATTTGGAAATCTTTCCTCTCTCTGATGTTTCAGCTTCCCCTTAAAGTGAAAATCCTTTGGCCATTTTACTTTTCCTTGTCTAAGATGCAAAGTGATTTAAATACTGATATCGATTACAATAAAAACATAGTGTTGGATGATGAGATGAATGCAACCCAAATCACCACCCAATCAAGACACCAGATCATCGCTAAATGAAGGTCAGCTCTCTGTCATGTGACTGAACGGTAGTACTTTAAAGGAGACACGATAACAATATATTGAGTCGATTTAAAGGCTTTAATGATACTTTCAAGCAAAGCGCCATATTAAATGGAAAATTGTGGAACACATTAACCAAGTTGCTTTCAAAAAGATATCGAAGGTAAAAAAACATATGACAAGTGCCCCAAGATTAGCTTCAGGATTAGCCAATCTGCTGACAGCCAAAGCTGTCAGTAGGTTGGCTATGCCCAAACTGGTGGGGCAGAACGAAATAGGATGGCCAAAGAATTTAAACAGGTAGATGCATACCACATGGAGGAAGAAAAAAAGACGTCTGGAAATGAAGATTGCTACGCTGCAAAATGCTCATTGGATCAATCATAAATCCAAGTTGAAATTTTTGGGAGGTTAATTTGTTTTGGTTGGTTTTCAGGTGAGAAATCTCCCTTTTAATATTCTCGTTACAAAAACTGACATTCACTCATAAGTCAGTCATACGACGAGCTTATTAAAAACCAAGTAATTTTTCTGCACGTATTAAACTTTTAAAAATCGCAAGAACCCAATATATGAGGAATTCAATAATCATGACTACTGCACAAGAGACCCATTTCAAAAAGATGAGCCTGTTAACTGCCTTAGCTTGGTCTATACTTTTGTTGGATTTATCACATCGTTTGACTGATGGACAAAATTGAAACTGCATGGGTTACTTAATTTTATAGTAAAGTTCGGATATAACGTACGCTGTCCTTGGTTGAAAGAGCTTGCTCTATCAGAATACAGAACATAGAGCTGAGCTAAAGCTGTCATGCCATCTGCGAAACTGTAATATGCCTGACCATTTCCTGAACTTCTCACTAGCTGTTTTCGTCAATAGAAAGTGAAATTTCGGATCAAGCGAGCCATTAAGTAGCGACAGTATAACCGAACGAGATGTGAGGAGAAACGCACTTTCGAGCACTAGCCGCTACCTAAGTACTTTACAACAGAAAAGAGAGCACAGGCAAGGCTTCTCTATTTGTTAAATAATTCTTGTAAATCTCCCTGATTACTGAATCATTAATGAATCCATTGCCAGAAAAATATCAGTTTTGTTAACAAGGAGGTTTATTTTCTCTTCTTTAACAACAAGGGAACTTTAAATGATGTTCAAATACTAAAGAAAACAAAGCAGAAAAAAATGCTCTCCTCTTTGCGTTGATTTCTGACATGGATTACTTGGGGGAGCATCATATAAATATTCAACAATATTTTGTGCGGCACTTTTAGTCATTTTACCAATGCGGAGACTTATCTATCATCTTTCTACCGCTTTCAGGCAAATCAATTTTATTTCTCCCTTCTTTTGTAGTTTATTGTAAGCCTTGACCCCTTCAATTGAGAGAAATAAGAATGTTATTTCCCGTCGGGGATCCCTATCTACCAAGGCTGAGTCCCAGCATTTAGCTGCTAACTCCACTTTTCTACAGCTACTGACGTTTCTTGAATACTCCTTTAAGCTCTGCTATTATGTCTCCCTTGAAGAGAGCATAAGCTAAAGGGTTTATTCCAGAGTTAATCACCTGCAGCGGCATTTTGTAATAGAAATCGTTACAATCGTCGTTACCTTGTAAGACTGAGATACTACAACGCAGAAGCAATCCGTAACATAACAGGAACACACTTGTACCTATAATCATCACTTTGACTGCCGAGTTGCTTTGAGATTTAATTTCGATCCGCTGGTTGAGGACGTTATGCTGCACCTGTTTAACTACACTTCGACCTCGTCGGTTGTTATAAACAACTAGAAACGTAGACAAAACGCAAAAAAAGGAAAATAATACAAAGGATAACATCGAAAGACATAAATGATAAGCTGATAATAAGAAGGGTAACATCGAATGGAATTTCTTCGGCATTTAGTATTCTGTCGATCGACACTGCTAAGACAATTACTGCGAGAGGAATTCCTCCAGAAATAACAACCATCTGAGTGACTCTGCGGCGCGTCAAATTTCTCAAGGGTTTCACCACAGCGATATAGCATTCCATAACTAAACTAAGCAAGTTTGATCCAGATGCATAGACAATGAATATTCTTATATACAGCACAAGCAATCCTGCCATATTTGGTAGGTTATATTTTGTAAGGTTGCAAATGAAAGGTGAATGAACAGCAATCATCCCAACACAAAAATCAGCCATTGCGAAAGACGCGATGAATGTGTTGGATTTGGTCTGAAGCTGACGTCTTCTACAAGAATAAAATACAAACTTTAAAACTTGCTTTCAGATTTACGCACGCAGTTTCACATATTAAGTAATTTTTCATGAGTATAGACAATCAGAAAGTGATTAGTGCTGCTCTGATTATTTCAAAATTTCGTCACCGAGTTAAGACCAACGACAAAGGCAATCCAACGACAAAGGCAATGCAATTTGGAAAAATAAATATGAAAAATATACACCTTTCCTTTTCCCATGAAAAAGCTGTTGACGGGATAAATTAAAAATATAATAGCTGCTGCCAAAATAACAATAAAAATGTTTTTCATATTGCAACATGTTTGAAAACGGTTGCATATGAACATATATGTAGTCGTGTGTCGTGTGTCTTTATTGTTCAAAAGATAAAATTACATATCTTATGTTACATTAAAAAAGGATGTAAATAAGCTTAGGTGTATCTAAATAAGATAAGTATATACGTGGAAACAAATACAAAAGTCTAATACAGGAAGTACACTTTTACAAAGCTACATTGTACTTAAAAACAATTCTATTAAAAAACGTATTCTTAAAACGGTTTGTGCGAATGGCGGGCATGACAGGGGATTTATTTCTCAAATTATACCTCGTGATCTTGGTCTCAGGGAAGTAGGCTCTAAGAGGATGGCTCAGGATAGTTGAAACCTTGCGACAAATTTTGTGATCTTGCGTTTTAAGTAAGTCACCTATCACTAATTTCTTAGATATGTAACTACGTTTAAAACAACGATCTAAAAACTGCTGGGCTATAGTTAGCTCTGACTCAGAGGCCCCATGCACAGATAGAGCATAAGTAATATTAGGTAGGACAATGGAATTAAATAAAACATCTACTTCTGCTTGGCTACATCCTTCTTTGCGGAGGCATCTGATAACGTATAAACATTTATTAGCTTTACCTAACTTTTCTTTTAGGTGAGTACTGAATTTGCAGTTCGGCTGAAACGTGAGACCAAGAATGGTTAATCCACTAAAGCGGTCCAACCAGTAATGCGTTTAAGTCTCGTGAGATCAAGGTGATTAAGATCGCCACCGCAAACAATAGTAGCGTTTGGGTGATTATCCAGCATTGTGTCAAAGAAATTAAGAAGATAATCCATTAAATCGCATTGCTGGTATGATGTTTTCGGGGGGTGATAAAGACCAGATAAAAGAATGTAATTCCCACTTGGCAGCAACACAGTCAGGCAAATAAACTCGTATAAATTAGAACGATAAACATCAATAACTGAAAGATTACTCCTTGTATAGATAGCAACACCTCCCCCATTCCTTAGATCGCATCCAGACCAATTCCTATCCCTTCTGAAGATATTATAACCCGAGATATTAACCACCGTATCGGGTACCTCAATTTTTAAATGAGTTTCCGACACAACACAAGCATCGATGTCATTATTTCTTAAGTCGGCCTCCAAAGCCACAACCGCTCGCACCCGACTAGTTGTTTTCCCCAAACTACAGATGTTAATAAACAAAAGTTTAGGGACAGCAAGCTGACCAGAACTAACAGAGGTGTGTTCGCGGGACACCACTTGTTTTGGTACACTGACGAGATTGCTAGGGTTTCGTCGTTTTTCAACCCGCAGCCGGGGAATAGCAAACCCACTTTCCGCCCTTCGTCCAATGACGACAGAAATATTCTGAATAGTTCTCTCCTTCACATGCTGAACATTTTTTCTCAAACCTCCCCGATTACCACGAAACCTGAGCAGCTGTAGTTTCTTAAGCGTCTCTAAGACAGGGTTCGAAGGTTTACCAGATTTCTTTCTCAAACCGAGTAAATAGTTTCTTCCATAACATGGAATCTTACTTTCGTCAGACCAGGTTTGCTTTCGTAGATCATAGCTCTTCTCTGAAGAAATAGGACCAGGGTTCGTCTCCACATCCATAAAAACTGTAATGTCTATCGTTAACAGGGAGCAATCCGTCGCCGCAAGCAGTATATAACCATGTTTAACCCATTTCATGATAGGCCTTCGAAGTCTATCATGGCGATGCGCCCTTGTTGAGTAGCACTTACGAGCTGAGAAGGAAATTCCAAAGACGTCGCAACCAACCGAACTTTTTCCTCTCCAAATAGGCTTGAGAGAGTCAAAGTCTTCATCCAAGTATATATTGTAATAAAATTGAAGCTTAAAATTGATTAAAATAGCTAATAGAAGAGGAGCCAATATCCTCGTGGCCGCCATACTCGGCGCCTGCGCAGTTCTGTCACTGTATGTTTATCATGGAGTGAAAGTAATTTAGTAAAAGTGTCCAAAGCATTTGAAAGGAACAGTCGTAAATATCACGATCCAGTTTTGATCAAAGGTAAATTGCAAATAGATTAACCAGATTCGGAGCAGGACTTAGATGGAAATGGACTTTATTATTACTTTGTCATTTAAATTCATCGAGGTACAAACATGAAAGGACAAAAATAGCTCCCTTGTTTCTTATGGACAGATGTTCCTTTTTGTTTCACAATGCCTAAAGGTTAACACAGATACATACTATAATTTATCAATTTCTTAAGATATAATTATCTTCACGTGTAACTCCTGCACGCATTTTTGACTGTCATACAAGGCGATGATAAGCTGTTAAAAGTGTTTTGTCTGCTTTGAAAACTCAGCCAAGTTAGAGCATTACTGTTCGTCGTGCTAGGCGTGGTTTCGACGAGTGAAATTTCAGTCCAGTTCTTTCAGTCCAATATTACGTACCAGCTCTCTGCAGTAGGAAAAGCTTCGAAAACATCGATATCTGGTCTTAAATCTGAGAGAGTTAGGTAAAATAACCTCTGCATTCTTACATACTTGTGTTATTTTTTGTTTCATTGGGATTTTTTGAGCTAACCATAAGTTGAAATAAGAATTTATATATCATCAATGGATCTACAACCGAAAATTGTAACTTTCTACAAGAAGTATTGTCAAAAAAGGTCTATGCATCAACTGAAATTGTTCTTGCTTAAGTACGAGCGGAGGCTGTGCATTAAATCAAAGATGCCTCTTGAAGAGAAGCCTCTTACATTCTCGCCTAATATCTCTTTTAAAGAAAGCATAAGCTATAGGGTTTATTCCAGAGTTAATAACTTGTAGAGGTACTTTGTAACGAAAATCGTTACAAAGATGACCAGTTAAAACTAATACACTACAACGTATCAGTAATCCGTGACACAACAGAAACACACACGTTACCAATGCGACCCATTTTACTGCTGACTTATCCTCACTTTTCACCCTAGCGACCCGCTGATTGTACTGCAATTGCTTTACTAAAACACGCTCTCTCGAGTTCTGCTTGTAAACAAGAAAAAAAATGGATGCAAGGCAAAACATTAAAAGTGCGCATAACATTACCTCGAAAAGCAAATACACATAGCCGCTAATACGATAGATCAAATTGAATCTGATCGCCGATATAACCATAATGAATAGAAAAGGAATTCCCCAAGAAAAGAAAACCATTTGAATGACACGGCGGCTCGTCATAAGAGTCAAGTATTTCAGAGGCTTCACCATGGCGACATATCGTTCCAATACCAAACTAAACATGTTTGATCCAGATGCGTACACTATGAAAACTCTTACATAAATCAGAAGTAGGTTTGTTGTCTCACTGGAGGTGCACTCATTCGCCATGGTGCAGAGAAAATGCGAAGGGACGGCTATCATACCAACACAAAAATCAGCCACTGCTAAAGACACGATGAATGCGTTGGTTTTGGTGCGAAGCTGACGTTTACCACAGACGAGGAAGATGACAAATGCATTTTCAACCATCGTGAGGAAAGAAAGGAACCAAGCAAGAACCCAAAACCACGTTTCCATTGGATTTCTTTTCAGTTGCTATTCAGGACTTTTCAGCTGTTTTCTTGGTTAGAGCGAAGAGAATTTTCAATAGTTTCTAGGAAAAAAATTGAGTTGATTTAGAGGTGTTAATTATAGAACCGCTTGACCTTGGCCTTAGCCCTGCGGAAAAACTACTTATGTCAAAAGATATTGTTAGGTTAAGTCCATTTAAGGCTTTGAACATGCATCAACCTAAAATTTTTTCGTCAGTTGATCTGACGTACAGAGTTTGCCGCCTATTTATCGGGTTTTCAGAAGCATGAACCAATCATATAGATATGTCATGTATTGTACAGTGAAGCTCCTTTTATTTCAGTAGAGCTAAAAATTTGACGCAGATGAAAGATTAAATAAATTTGATGAGACAAGATTTATTCATAAGCATAAGTAATGCACTTTTTTTGTTTAAAGTCATGCAGAGTGTACGTTTATTTGCTGATCCCTTCCGTTGAAGGCTCAGCAAAAACATGGTTGATTCGTTGGTCCTCATAGCGTGGTTTTCGACAAATATAAGTTTCAGCTTCCTCTCATTTCCAGCTTGACGCGAGACCTTAACAATTCACCAGCGGAATTTTTCGTAGAGATTCCCGATACTGCGGAACCAGCAAAACATTTAACAAATAGATTCTATTTACGTGCATCTCTTTAGTAATAGATTATCATGACGTCAAAATATAATACGAATAAAAAAGGGGCATACGAGGCTCAGCCGAGTGAGTCACTGATGTTTTTACCGTATGTTGACGTCTTCTTTGATCTACGACTGAACAAACCCATGGCAACTGAGAGATTTTTTTTTGTGATGATAACAAACCAAAAATTAGTCAATGGTGACGTCACCTTTACACCTGTCTTTATCAGTCAGAACCAATGAAAATTCGTGCGTAATTCAGCTTGCCATTTAAGGAAAAATGAAAACATGTCAATTTTTTCTAAGAAAGATTGAATGCAATGCAATGAAAAACGCAAAGCAATGCCGAAACGTCACTAAGGCTGTAAATTGAAATAACATTTTCTTTGTCCATGGTAGTAAAAAACAGTTGAAGGATACTCCACCTACAGTCATCACGATAAGGAGCATGGAGTTCAATCGCACAGAGCTGTACTGCACAAGTGTTTACCTCTCTCACTCTCTCGGCCGTTTCATGTTCTCCTTGCAAAATGATTTAGATGCAGACAGTGATTAAAATGAACTGAAATAGCTTTGGATAATGCGATAAACTGTGGAGTAAAGTTAGATTGAAGGGTTAACTAAAGATGTTTTCGATGGCCGTTCTTCAAAGGCGATGACGTAACCGTATAACATAGAGACTCAGCTAAGTCCAAAAGCGGAGCTCTACTTAGTTCATTTTTCAGTCCTTTATCAGGGAAATTGTTCACCTCAATAGCTGTTCGCTTTTCTTAGAGACACATCTGCTGTGAGACTGGTGAAAATTGGCTCAGATATTAAAGATATTAAATGACATGTGAGGTGTACTTTGAGGATTGATATGAGCTACGAAAATTTTTTAAAAGCTTTTAAATTGAAAAGGGAAGCACAAGAAGCCTATCACTTATTTTCTGAGTGTGGTTTCTATTGTCCCTTCAAGTTTGATAGCTACTGTACATTTCTTTTAGCAAGCCAAAAAGTTTTGTGGAAAAAGTGAAAATTCCGAAAAATTCCGCCATGTTGGAAGACGTCACTAACACATAAGCAGTGTCATTTGCACATTTATTCCAGAAAATTAACATCGTCTTGTAGAGGACGTAATAGGCTACCTCGTTGCGATAAAAATATCACAACGTGCTAAAAACGCTAAGGGGAGGGGGAGAGGTCACATTATAGCTAAAACGCTAGGTGCAAAATAGAAGGATACATTTTTTAATCCGTCTTCCTGTTTGAGCTACAAAAAGTGTATTTTAGGTCGTCTTCTTGTAAATCCTAAAATATATTATCATATTTTCCTCAAAAAGTGCGTAACTATTCAAACACATTAGCAGAAACTAAAAGCCTGTCCTGATGGCCTACGAAGAAAACTTAACGGTGCAAAATTACTTGCGCTTGTCATTATCAATTTCCTCGACGGTCATCCAATTCAAAACAAGACTTTAAAACTTCTTAAGTAATTCATCGTTTGGTGTCGAGTACATTAAATATCAGTGAAGATAAGAATCAATACGACACAGACACACTCGGGATTCCGAAGGTTATCTTGCATAGCAAATGCTCTGTGGTAAATAATCGACTCCATTTGAAAAGAAGCCTTTTACTACCTTCTTGCTTTATGTCTCTTTTGAAGAAAGTGTAAGCTATAGGATTTAATCCAGAGTTAATAACTTGTACAGGTAATTTGAAATTAATATCTTCAGTACATTTATGACCCGTTAAAGTGAAAAAACTACAACGCATGAGTATTCCATAACACAATAGAAACACGCACCTTACCAATGTAACCCATTTTACTGCTGACATTTAATTTTCCGAGTTTTAACTCTTGTGACGAGTTGATTAAATTCCAACTTCATAGTTAAAGCGCGATCTCTAGGGCTCTGCATGTAAACAACAAGAAACATGGATGCAAGACAAAATGTTACAATTATGCACAATATTACCTCGAAAAGCAAACAAAAATAGCCTAGGACAGTCCTGATGCGATCAGTTGAATTGAATTGTATCGCTTGCAACGATACAGTCAAAGAAAAAAGAAAAGGAATTCTCCAAGATGCAAGAACCATTTTAATGACTAGGTGGGGCTCCATAAGAGTCAAGTATTTCAAAGGTTTCATGACGGCGACATAGCCTTCTAATACTAAAAAAACAAGTTTGTTCCAGAAGTGTAAGTGAAGAACAGCCACATACTTATTACAAGAAATCTTGCTTTTTTTATCGGAGATGCACTCATTTTCCATTTTGCACAGAAATCATGTAGGAGCGGTAATCATCCCAACACAAAAGTTAGCCACTGCTAAAGACAAGATGAATGTGTTGGTTTTGGTGCGAAGCTGACGTTTTCTGCAGACAAGGAAGATGACAAATCTATTTCCAGCCACCGTAAGGATACAAAGAAACCAGCTAAGAACCAAAAACCAAGTTTCTATTGAAGTTCTTCTCGATGGCTGTCCGGGACTTTTTCAAAACTTTTAAGAGGAACGTTATATTTACAAAGCGGTCTTACAAAACCTTCTGGCCGCATCTACCGTTTGTGTGAAAGCTAATTATGCAAATAACTTTTGTTATGTTCAGTCATAATTAAGACAGGAAACATCCGTTACCCTAACGCATTTTATCAGATGCTTTAAAGCCTGTTTATTGGTTTTACAGAAACACGGACTAACCAAAATTGGATAAATTTTCATGAATTTTTTTTCCTATGATCATTTAATATGTTTAAGAATTGCAGAAGACTCCTATCTTTGGAATATCAGAATCGCAAACAAGAATTGAATTGAAAAATTAGCCCCCTATTTCAACAAATATTTCCATGGAAGGTAATTTCAATATCATTTAATAGTCAGTGCGAAATTAAAACCGCCTCCTTTTCATTTCAAGTGATTGACATCACTACATAAATTCTTAATGACATCCTTAATGACTGGATAGTTCTCTACTGCTCCAATTTAAAAGCTTTGGATATAAAGGGGAAAAAAGGGGACTTAATCATCTAATTTGTCTCTAGAATATGTCGATATGCAAAACTTGAACTGACATGTAATATTAAGTCGCTGTCCTGTTGTTTCAGCAGAGCTGAGAAACTGATGCAGATGAAAAATAGAATTACCATAAATTTATTGCGACAAAATTTATTCATTCGTTTCACGCGTGCTATTTTCTTTAATGCCATGCAAAGGGTACGTTTATTCACTGGGATTAGGTCTTATAGTGATCCACTGTTTTGAGAGCTTAGCAAAAATATGTAAAATTCATAGACATCGTTTGCGCCAATAAAGTCTCTAGCTTTTCCTCTTTCCCAGCTTGACGTGATATATCAACAATTCGTCTGCAGCTGCATAGAATTTTTCAAAGAAATTCTCGGTTACTCACCAACGATTTTACAGATAATTGTGTCAGTGACTCTGTTCGGTTACCGATCGTTTCTTTCTCACGGCCACTTCGTAGCTGGTCAGTTGATGCGATTTGTACCCAGCTCGGTTGTTTCGAACACAAACTGATGAAGTATGTTTTTATGTTAATTATGTGTAAAGAAATGTCGGTTTCTTATTGTGAGTAGGAATATTACCTGCGTTAAAGAAGTTTTCTTAACGTGGTGCCCATTTACCAACCAATGAGTGCAAGTCCTGGAACCGAAAATGCAGGATCTGGGATGCCGTCTATTCAGTAATAAATACCAAAGAAAACGTGTCCAGAGTCATACGTCTTGACCCACAATTTCGTTTAACTAACTGCAATAAAATGCTAATTACAAACTATTTACAAATGTATGAATAACAATAAGATAAAACTGAAAAGGCATCTGTTTACAAAACAGCGTTTATGACGGTCAGTTCTGACACGTGGCAGGATATAAGAGTATCCACTTTTCCTAGGGCTCCTTATTCTCTGGGGTAATATTTATCATCATGATGTCAAAATGGTGTAAGAGCAAAATAGTGGCATACGAGGTGAAGCTGAGAGTTTGTGTGATGTTCTTACCGCATATTGACATCTTCTGTGACATACAACTGAGTGGACCCATGGCAACATAAATTCCTTTTGTTCTATATGAAAACAAAGAAAAATAGTATTTTATGATGACGTCATCTGTGCGTCTGTCCGGCAATAGATCATGCGATAGAGTTAACTAATCAAAATTCGAGCGTAATTCAGCTTAATATTAAAGATGAATAGATCCATGCTAATTTTCTTTTCCAAGAAAGATTGAAAAACTGAGTTCACATCGGCAAAATCAAAAATTATTTTCCTATTCATACAAAGCAAAGTTCGTGCAAGCTTGATGTGCGAACGCATCTTTGATCGCTCTGCGTTGATTCAAATGTTTCTG